TTTTAAAATCTTCTAAAGCATTGTTAAATTTTGGAGGACTCTCTGAGAAATCATATTGATATTCACTGCTTTTGATAACACACACAAGACCTCCAAGGGCCGATCTTTCTAATCTATAATAAAGTATACATTGTAAAAAATTCATTTTATATTCATAAGTTTAAATTGCAATCCCTTATACTCTTCTTTAGTTATGTTTATTAAGGTATCTGTTTTTTTTTTTTTGGGGGGGGGTTGCTATAGGGCGCATGCACTCACCAGAAAGACAGAGAGAGACAGAGAAACATAAAACAAGAAATCACCCCCCCAGGGGGGATGGCCACGACGCAATCCCTTCTCTTCCATTCTCCTCTTGGGATCTCAGGCATGCACGCACACATGCCCGGCGTGAGTTTAAGCCACTGGGTCCGGGACTGGAACTGTGGTCAACTGCATGGGAGTCCAGCCATATAGCCATTTTGCTAACTGCTGGTCCCTTTAAGGTATCATTTTGATGACAGTCACTAAGAGTGAGATCATTTTATAAAACTATGCATTTGTAACAATTTATTGTCCCAGTTGCCTCAATTTGGGGATAAGAAATAATTTCATAACAAACCTTAGGAAATTTCTTAAGGTTATGATATAACTAAGAATGTCTAGCATCTCAGTCTTCTGTTGGACCTGGAAAACTAGGTAATGGGATGCTATTAAATTCCACATTGCACAACTGGAAACTTTCAGAATCAAGCTGCCTGGTAAATTGGACAAGAAATCTCGTTTTCCCTTGTTACCTCCCTTTATACACAGAGCCATTTAATTTTAGGACATTGAGAAGCCATGTTGAAATTTGATAAGAGTGGATATTTCTAGGTCTCAATTTTGGTGTAATTTCTAATTTAAACTTATTTTTATTAACATGGCACCACTGTTTTTCCAGAGAAATGAAAATCTTTTAAATTTGTTTAGGCCATTGGCAGTTTATATAAAATCTCCTGAGAGACTTTACTAAGGTTCAAATGCATAAAACAATACTTGTGTTTTTCAAATTTGTGACCGTATCACTATGTATTTTTACATCATAGGAGAGGGTTTAGGCAATAATGTTGAAAGACACTAATTCTAAGCACTCTAATCTTGAAAGATCAAAATCGCCAAAGTATAATTCTGAAAGAAAACAATTACAAAATATTTTAAAAGACATTTAAAAACATTTAAAATAGTTTAATCCTATTTACACTGTTGAAATGGGGTTTATTTGGGACACATAAAAACACAACAGCACATGGGACCAGCAGTTGGTGTAATGGATATGTCACTGGACTCCCATGTAGTTGACCGTGGTTTGAGTCCCTGATGCGACAGCATGAACTCATGCCAGGCACGTGTGTGTGCATGCCCAAGATCCTGAGAGGAGAATGGAGGAGAAGGGGTTGCAGCGTGGCCATCCCTCCTGGGGGGTGATTTCTCGCTTTCTGTCTCTCTGTCTTTCTGGTGAGTACATACACTCTATAGCAAAAACCTCTTCAAAAAAAAAAAAAACCACAGAAGCACACTTCATAGGCCACTTTACACAGCGAAATAGGCCAGGATACCCATTTTTGCAAGCATAAACACTCAGGTTTATTAGCATTCACACAGATATGATATAAGCGATATGAGTAGAGGAAGTGTATTCATATAGAAATAGATCATAGTGAAAGAGATGTCCTGCGGTTGGTAATTGTGTGCACCTAGCCTTATAATAAACTTTGTTCATCAGAAATACAGTGATAAAGCGTCTCAGTCTCTTTATGAGACCTTTCAAAAATAGTGATGGTTCACCGCCACATGTGTAGTGGTCCAAAAAGCCAAGATTGATAAAATGTTATCTTTCAAAAATGGGGATTCATAAAAAGGACATATCTTCCTTTACTACAGAAGTTTAAAAAATTTTACATGTATGCAGTCCTTACACTCAGTGAGTGTCTAATAATGCACTTTTGTAGAGTCCAATTTGAAAAAAATACATCAAACCAATTAAAACTCTCTAAAAGTTTTAAACAAATAATATCTCTAGTATTAAAAATAATGTTGGGGCTGGCAGGTAGTGTGGTGGATAAGGGTGTAGGACTCCCACATAGCTGGCTGTGGTTCAAGTCCCAGATCTGGCAGCTTGCTTTCTCACTTTTCTTTCTCTCTCTCACTTTATCTCTCTCTGGTTAAGTTAAAATAAATAAATAAATAAAGTTGAATAAAATAATTATTTAAAAAAATATAATGTCAAGGTAAACTACATAGCATAGTGAATTGTAGAAATCATAATGTTGACAATTTAAAATAGTATGGGAAAACCTAAACAGAAG